TTTGTTTTTATTACTGTAATTTGGCCATATGGTATTTAGTTAGCTGGCATTTACTCAAAATTTGTTTATCAATAATCTTTGCGGCATTTTTCAATAGAATCAAATAAATTTTGGCAGCTGTTCTTTTGTGTAATAATTAAATTAATCATTTGATAACCTTTGAATTTTTGTTTGCAGAAATCTGTGTGACTAAAATTGTAAAGTACTAGTACCTAATTACATACATAGTATTATACTAATGGCCTCTTCTTATCAGTTCACTTCATCATTTATAACCCCAATTTTAGCCTGTATTTAAAAAATAACTAGCATTTGATTTATGCGGCATGTCTTACTTACGTAAATATTTATGATGTATGTATGTATGTATGTAGAATAATATTGACTATTATTAGTGTAAGATGTACGTAAAAGTCATCTGAAAAGTATAAAAATCCACCTTATGGGTGGTTCTAAAAGTGTGAGACGACAAATATACATAAATTATTAGTGTTGGGAAGGATCAAGTTCTTTAGTATCGATACTATACTATCGATACGATACGAGAGTACTAAGTACTTTCTTTAAATACTTATATGTTGCTTAGTGTAGATATCTCCGCACTTTATTCAGATTAAAATGTTAATCCAAAATTACGTCAAATGAATGACTAGCTTTACAGGGTACAAGTATTGTACTTGAAAACTATTGAGGGATTCACAACGGTGTCGTAAGTGTCGTATTGTTGTATGTCGTAAACTTTAAAAGCTTAAATAAATGTTTAGAGAACTTGCAACGATAACGAACTATTTTTAACACTGCAAAAATTCATAATATGACTTTGATGGTACTTTGCGAACCCCCTTAATATATTTTTTAGGCGTTTAAAGTTTACGACATACAACAATACTACACTACGTTGTGAATACCCCATATATGAACTTAAAATTTAGTACAATCATTTCTGAATACCGGTAAATATAAACACAATTCAGTACTTTTAAGTATCTATTCGTCACATAATACTGAGTACATACTTTGAATCGATCCTGAGTGCATGCATCAAAGTAATGATTGGAACAGAGTATTTTTAAGTACTGAGTACTTTCGAGTTCTTTCAAGTTCTGAGTACTTTTGAGTTCTGTTGTGAGTACTGAGTACTTTGGAGTACTCAAGATACATGCATGTGCAGTGACGCATACCAAAAAGTAAAACTGAGTAATTTGGTTGTATCCATTTGCTTATATATATTTGACGCTTACATTTTTGTTAAGTGTTTGGCAGAGCTCCTCCCGACAAGCATGCAGAAAAGTTTCATATACGAATAATCTACACTTCTCAAGTGTCACATACAAAATTTTATATAAGAAATAATTATTGTGACACTCCAAATCATGCTCAAATCGGTTAAAGCATACCTCGAAAAAATCTGCCAGAGTTTTCTTTCAGCATCCATGGGTACCTTGTAGAGCTACTAGTTGTGAACTAGAATAAAACCAGTTACTGTTTCAGATCAACTAATTCGTCTTCCAACCATTTTCCATGCAAACATCTGGTTTGTTAACATGGCGATGTCCAACGAAATTTCAGTTGTCCTGCTATAAAGCAGCTGATACCAATTGACGGGTAGTCTGTCGGGTCATCACATGCGAAAGGAATAAGTATGTCATTTTGCTCGCATCGCTACAATAATCGCAATGGCGAATAGAGCAGACTACTTGCTTGCCATTCGAGAGATCCGAGATTATAATCCTCGGGCAGCGAAATTTTTTAAATTAAACTTCTTTCGCCACATTTTTCAAAGTGCGAACGCTGGGTGCATGTGCTACTACAATGTCTTTCTCGCCGTGGATGGACTGGTCTTCTTAGGGATCTTCCTAGGCTTACAAAGCCACAGCTCCCAATTCTAGTAGGAGTATTGACAGCAAGGGGTACTGATCAATTAAAAGCTTGTTTGGAAACTTGCAGTTATGGCGCTTGGGCTCATCTTTCGTTGAATTTCAAGATAACATTGTGGGTATTCACACTTGTCTGGTTATCAGGTTATCTGGTTAAAAGTAATTATTATATAGCGTTTTATTGTTGTAAGCTGAATAAAAAGTATAACGTCCTTAGCCTGATAACCAGACTGGTGTGAACACTCACATTGTTATAGAAGATTCTGGACAATGTAAGCAACAGCAGAAACGGAATGAAACTTAATTTTTTTTTTGTGCTGTTACAACATAAAAATTGGACTTATTAGCTTAAGCTATGGAAAGGAACTTTAGTACTGAAATCGGAACTCGTCACAATGAAATCCATATTCAATGGATGTGCTTTTTCACACTTAAAACCTGTGCAAAAATTTTACTTAAGTTGAACGCCAATGGATCACAATTTCTCTCCCGCACGATTAAAAATGGTCACTGTTATGAAAACACTTTTTAGTATTTTTTGTTGATGCGTCATATGGAAGAAAGTGCGCCACACCCTCCACAAAAAAGAAAAAAAATTTAAATCAAAACATACAGGCATGTTCTGAAATTCGAAACTTTGAAATCGGATCGATTTGCCAAATATTTTTTAATTATATCTGATGAAAGGAGTGAATATTCTCACTGAAAACTGTAAAAGAAGCAGCAGCGATATGAAAAAAATCATTTTAATGCGAGACTTGTAATTTTTTAGGTTAAAAACCATCGAAGAAATTATCGAAATCGAGTCGATTTAAAATTTTCGAATTTCGGAACATGCCTGATAGTTTCTATTTCTGCATATCCGAATCTTTTCTAAAGATTCTGATTAAAAAATTTTAAATTATGAGGATTTATTTTTTTTTTTTTTTTGAAATTCGTCTAAACTTGTGTTTATGTATGTGGTTTCTGTTTGCATTCCATTTTAAATGAAAATTATTAAAAATAAATACAAATAAATTGCAAACAGTGTCATTTTGAATTTCGGCGCTAATTCATTGACCGCAGCTGTACTTACTTTTAGTTTATACATAAATATCCGCATCTCTAATGCATATGCATTTATTTTCAGTTATTTATCCAATGCTCGTGGCTTCGAGAATCTCACATAGATTGGATATTTCAAGGACCAACCTGTCTAGTATTAATACTCAATTTAATATTTCTCATACGCATCATGTGGGTAAGTACATAAATCTGTAATCAACTAAGTATTTAATTGGAAAGCATTATAATTTGTGGCCTTCGTATTTATATAAATCCATATGCATACGTGATGTTATTGACATTACCTCAACATCGCTCATCATTTCAGGTGCTCATCACAAAGTTGCGCTCGGCCAATACTCTGGAGACGCGTCAATATCGCAAGGCATCAAAAGCTCTGCTTGTACTCATACCATTATTCGGCATCACGTATCTCATTGTTCTTTTTAGTCCTGGCGGTGATGGAATCACACAAAATATATTTGAAAATCTGCGTGTCATCCTAATTAGTACGCAGGTATGTGTGCTAATACATATGTATGTATGTATGTATGCATTATAATGGGCTCTAAGTGACGTTTTCGATTTTTCGGAAATGTTTCATTTACCTCTTTAAAAAAACAAGGGTTAACAAATCCTCATCTCTTTTTAAGACTCATCTAATACCTTACTTTCAGATATCATATTTCTGTAACCGCGATATTTTTTCGTCCTCTCAACTTAATGGTATTAACGTAAACCTTATTGCCGACTTCTTATTACAGGATCTCTTGTTTATCACATAAGACTCTACTGAATAATTTCTGTATTTTTTTTTTCAAATTTAAATATGGGTTCTTGTCATCAGAATATCCTTGTCCTACTTAGATCACCATAACAACCCTTATGTCAATAAGAAAGATAAGCAAGAAAACTTGAAATATATAGTCAAACTTAAGGCGGATGCATCATTTTAGTTAAGAACTTTTCGTCTAGAATGATGAATCCGTCTTTAGTCTCTTTATTGAAAGGTGAAAGGAGTGAAAGCTTCGAAAAGAGAAGTAATTAAACTGCATATTTACATGCAGCCATATTTTTTTTTAATAAAAATCGATAAGAATAATGTGTTCTTTCACACAGGGATTTTTCGTGTCCTTATTATTTTGCTTCCTAAATTCGGAGGTGCGACAAGCTTTACGACATCGCTTCTTGAGATGGCGCGACAATCGTAATTTAGGAAATGGCAATCGCAGTCGCAGGTAAATATCACAAATTAGCGCTTGAAAGCAAAAAATTGGCGTACATTTTTGCTATATACATAATTTAAAAATATGAGCATAAACAGTTGGCGATTTAAAAACTGGGCATACATTTTTTTATATATTTTTTTAAAATGCTTTATTTATTGTACACACAATTTTAGTTATTTAAGAACTGGACATAATTTTTTGATTATTTAAAAGTCAGGAAAAAATTTGGTGATTGAAAAACTAATATAAACTTTAAATTTTTTATATAAACTCGACATAATATTTTGTAAATTTAAAAGCTAGATATAATTTTGCCATTTAAAAATTTTACATTAATTTATAGTCATTTTAGAACGGAAGGTAATTATTTTCGGCGATTGAAAAACTAGACAAAATTTTTATCAATTTTAAAACTACACATCAATTTTTGGTCATTTAAAAACTGGACCTAATTTTTAGGTAACTGAAAACTTTTGGCACGTTTAAAAACTGGACATAAATTTTTTGTTTACTCAAAATTGGAAATACATTTTTGGTAATATAAAAACTAAGCATAAATTAGTAACTTTTTAAAAACCGAATACATATACATATTTGTCATTTAAAAACTGATTTGAATTTCTTAAAACTGGCAATACTTTAATGGGAACTTGCAAATCTGAGGAAATCATCATTAATGACAAATAAAAAACTAGACATAAATTTGTTGTCGTTTAAAAAATGGACATAATTTTTTTTTTACAATTTTCGAATCTTAGAATATATTTTTGGCGATTGGAAACCGTCCAGTTTTTAAATTACAACAAATTAATTCCACTTTTGGTGGTACAGTGAAACCTCCATATAACAATCTTTAATAAAAAAACTCAATACCACAATATTTCTGCTGAGTCAACTGAAAAGACCTCGTTGTTGTGAAATATTCCATATAAATGCCCCATGGCTATAGCGAAGAATTTTCGAGCATGAAAATCTACGGGATATATTGGAAAAATACGCAATCTACTATAATGATTTTTTTCCAAAATTTCTCATTTTTTGTTGTATCGAAACTATTGACATTTATAACGAAACATTTATCCAATCCCTTCAACTTCACTTTATTTATAAACCAAATCCTTTTCAGATATCGTGTCTCCAAGGACGACTCGCATCGTTCAAGAACTGAAAGCTTACGGTAAGTAGTGGAGGAGACGGTGTTGTAAATTTTGTGTTCTTCTTCTGCTTTTTTCTGTTTAGAACATTTTACCCTGTTAAGTTCATTAAGAATAGTAGTTAAAGAATTTCCATTTACGTTCGTTAAAAATGGCAGTTGTGGGGTTGAAATGTAAAAACAAAAATGTTAGGCACAAACTGTTTCAACGATGAGGAAAAAAGCGATTCTATTAAACGAGCAAAATCGAATTTTGAGGGTTAAACTATTCTACAAAACTGTTTATTAAAAAATTGTACCAGGCACTTAAGCCTATCTTAAGATAATAATTTCCAAATCTATGCTACTGATTGATTTGATTTAAGCGCCAGACCGTTGATTTTTAATTGGCATCTCACACCCACGATTGAGAGAATACATCATTCTTGTCTCACACCAACATACCAAAAAAAAAAAGTTATTATGTATCTCAAAAAATAGCTTGTCATACAAACCACCTGCCATTAGTTTTATTTATATTTGTATAATTTTGATTTTCTTTTTTACTTTTATATTTATTTATTTATTTATTTATTTAAAATCTAGACTTACATCAAGTAGTCCCGTACCAAATGGATTTAACCACGCATAATCTGTACAGAGTCAAAAAACAGAAAACCAAATCATACATAAAGGATTTCAAATGACGAGTCGCTGATGCCCAAAAAAAAACCGCGTTGAAGAAAGAAAATGTGGGAATAGTAAAGTAGTGCAATAAAAGTGCTGGCCAACTTTTTTGCACCAATTTTTCGACCTCGATGTGATAATAACTAATTATTATTATTTTGAAAATTTCATAAAAACTTTCGATCTGAGATTTTTTTTATTAAATTTAAACACATATTAGATTTATTTATTATTAAGTATGATTTATTAAAAAATCTTTTGATTTTTAGTGTTTATTGAAAACTTCGTGTATATGCATGTATGTATGTATGTAATATAAATAACAAAATAATGTAAATATATATATGGTATTATTTTAAGTAACTATTTACAAAACTTGTTTATATTCTTGGTTAATTATGGATACGTCGAAAAGTTTACGAGATGTTTTGGAACAAATTTTCTAAAAGGCACTTTTCAGCTTTTTGGGTATTCAATGCTGCTAATCACATAGACTGAGTTGTCGCGCAAAAATAGCCTCACCATTTTCCGAACAACTCCGCTATATAGAATAGTGCTAGTAATTTTACCACTATGAATATTAATAAGAATTTATGTAATTTTTTACCTTTTTAAAGTTAAATTTAAAAAAGCTTTGCAAACCTTATTAAAATACATAAGTTAATCTTTCAATCGTTGTCGTCAAGCTCACCGAACGGTAGGCCCAGGAAACGTGTTGTTGCGAAGGGTTGGAACCAAAAAGATAAGGTCGATCCTTGAGTAGGTTTAAGGGGGCATGTGAAAAGCTATTTAGTTAGTGCCATGAGGAAAACCTTCCCGTGTGAAAAATTCTTTGGGTACATAAGGATCGAGTCTGCTTAAGGATCGAGTCGAGCAACTGAAGCTTTTTCTTTGCAATGGGTAGTGATTCAATTCCGAAGACGACATTAATAGGAGGAGAGTTGGTGAAGACGGCATGTACAGCTTCTGGTCCAATCAGGAACTACTTTCCTGTGATAGCATAGCATCACTATCTTCAAAAAAAAGCTTTTAGGCACTTCCATGATAAAAACATAGCAAGGTAGAACCGTTCTCTCAATTTGTCGGCCATGATTTTTTTTTGAAGTTTGCCAACATTTTAAAATCATATAAAAGTGAAAATAAAAAATTGAAATTGTTCGAAATTGTTGTTGCTTGAGATTGAAAATGAAAATGTGTGTGTGAGTTTGTGAGTAAATTTAAAAATTAAATTGTTTGGAAACGTCAAGAATTTTAAAAGTGACTCTCAGCGGTTCTACCTTACTATATTTTTATCATGGGCACTTCTATCCGTTTTTTTCTATCTTTTTCTTAGCTAAAGTAGAATTGAAATACCAGGTACCAAACTTTATGCAAAAAAAAAAAAAAATTACACAAAACCTTAATTTTACTTTCAAAAACAAAAAAAAAAAATGATTTTTTGGTTCTGCTCTATCACAAAAGTACTGCTCGGTATCTACTAATATATGTTCTTTTATATTTCTGCGTTTCTCTATACAAATGATGCTCTTTCGACATCCGGTAGTTGTCCGTACTACGGTGAGAAAATGAGGTGTTTTTACGCCAAGTGCTGCCAGATATCAACTTGAGAACATTGGTGCGGTTCTGTCCCGTAGTTACACTGTAGGAACGCTAAAGTGACACAAAAAACGCAGATGCACGTAACCTTAATTTTGGGCCGTACATTGCGGATCTGTACAGATTTTGCTAGATCAGATCATTTTCCTCTAGGTTTTTTGATTATGGGAAAAGTTACTCATACGCCATGTATGTAAGAGTATGGAGTATGTATGTGACAATATGGCGTGTTAGTAACATTATTTCCCGTCCCTGTTTCTTACAAAAAATGACTGCCCATTTTCATTTGATCATTCACAACTTGGTTATTAATGCATATATTTTCATTGTTAGTAGCTTGATTTGTTTTTTTTTTTACAAAAGAACGGGCCTTAATACAAACGAAACAAATTTACAAGAAATCTGTTATATTTTACTAGTTAAAGCTTATTTTTGTTTGCATAAAAATTAAAATATCTTGGGAAATTGACCTGATCTAGACAACTTCTACATATTGTAGCGTTAATATAGAATGGCCCTATCTCACATCGTCGCTGAAATACAAAAAAGCTTAACTAGCTAAAAATCTCAAATTCACTTTTTAATTGATTATGATGCTTTCACATCGTTTTATGCAATACATAATTTTAGTAGGGTTTTTTTGCATTTCAACGACGAGGTGAGCAAGGGCCTTTCTATATTAAGGTAACGATATCTCTGTATACTGTTTTAACAGTACTGGGGGAGCACACAACCCTATGGGACTCCTCTTTAATTTTCCCCTGTTTCGTGTTTAATCCCGATTGCTGACTACTCAGATAATTCACCGTCCGTCGTTTGAATCCGAGTGGGACAGAGCTGAAAATAATAATTCAAGTTTCTAATTAAAAATGAATAAAAAATATTTGGTTTGTTTTACTTCTTACATAAAATAGCCACTAAGTTTTAATTAGTAATTAAAAATCTGGAGGTATTTTTAAATCCCTTACGATATTTTTACTTCAAAATTGACTTATGTATTTCACTATATATTCGTACTGTTTTTTTTTTGCATTTGCATCGCTACAGCACCGAGGAATTTCTGGTTTGTATGCGCCCCTAGCACAATTACTGCTCCAATTCGATGAAGCGAAATCACTCGCATACGCGTACCGATTACGTTTGAAGATCAGCTGAAACCATTAACGAAGACTTGGAAGACTTAACATGTGGCGTACTGCGACTGTAAACTCATCGATATTTGCTGAAATTACATACCCACTAGGAAAATAGGGAAGCAACTTAATAGGTAATCCCTGTTTTTTCAGCTTTTGGTAAGTTGTAAAATAACGTGCCGCCGAAGTTGTTTCCGAGTGCCGAACTACTCCGAGCGGCTGCTCTACATTCTATATACCTTACTTGGTAAAGCGCTCATAAGTATGTCTGATGACAAATGTACATTCTAAATTTCTAATTTCATAAGACGGTCACGTCTTTGTTAAAGTAAAGTAGATTCGGCATTCGGAAGTGTTAAGGAGCGCCGGCTGAAGTGTAAGTTGCTGGATGACATTGCCCATGATGACAATTTTAGTACTAAAAGCTGAAATAAAACATAGATTACCTTGTAGGATGCTTACCCAATTTCCCAGGGGGTAAATACGCGTTAATAACTGTATATGTCTATATATTTGTGTGTGTATTTTTTTACAATTTTTTAACCAAAACTAGTAATGTTATTTATCTAAATATGAAAAATGTACCTTAGAAATTTTAAACTTTATAAAAAATGTAATAGAATTACATAGATATGTACATAAATAGTATGTGGAGATCTAAATGTATTTATGTACTTCAGTTTACTAATAAAATATAAAATCGCATATTTATATACAAGTACAATATTTATTTATTAATTCGTTCCTGTAGTTTTACAAACATATCAGTGTCAGTTAGAGTGTGTGTGTGTGTGTATGTAATAATTATATTAGTATGTTTGGGCTTATTATCTTCACTTTTATTTTCGGTTTGTTTACTTAAATGTTTTTGTACAAAAAATGTTGACAAATTCCACTGATGAAATTTTAAATTTACATGAATACATATGTATTTATAAAGCATTTAATATCCGTTAAAGTGTAAATTTTTATTACAAGAAAAATATATATACATTTGTACATACATACATAGGTATAAAAATCTTGCCTTTGGTCTAGTCCATTTAATATTTTTGTATAATATCCACCAACTGCTTTCGTTTTTTCTGCGAGGCAATTCAGAAAACTTTCTTTATTATTCTTCATGTAGCAATCACACAGATTTGATTGCTTGTATAATTCTTTCCGTTGCTTGAAATTTATAAGATGCTTAACGGATGACAATGTGTGCAAGTATGTATTTGGAATCGCCAAATATGGAATAAGCAAAAACAAAACGCTAAATGCAACAAATATTTTGCAATGCAATATTTTATAAATAGTCTGTGTGTTTCTCAAAGGCTTGGTTGTATATACAGTATCGGTCATATCTATAGCACGCCATTTCAAAGTGATATTGTGTCCCACTTATGTTTATTTATTTATTTTTAAGAATTTTCCATTAAAATACAGTTCTTTATCTAACAAAACCCATGTAAACCCAAGTTTAAAAGCTTATAGAAAACTACAAAAAAGTGCAACAAATTTTCACCTAAATTTCAAACTTTTTTCTCGGAAGTGTTTGAATTTTTCTGAATACACAGTTTTATAGCCCAATCAATTTTAGTCTGATAATGTGCGAGAAAAAAGTTTAAAATTTAGGTGAAATTTTTTACACTTTTTTGTAGTTTTCTACAAATTGTTGAACTTGGGTATATATGGGGTTTGTCCGAGAATGAACAGAATTTTAATTGAAAATTCTTAAAAATAAATAAATAAACATAAGTGGCACACAATATCACTTTGAAATGGCGTGCTATAGATATGACCGATACTGTACATATCAAAGACAAGCGAAAGTTTGAAAGTATGAAGAATAGGGTGGTGCTTAAAATATCAACATCTAAATTTGTATTGGACATCCCTTTACTTTGTTTTACATATCTACAAAATAAAGATATCCATGGAAATTTTAAAATTTAGAAACAAATTTAAGGGGTCGCTACCAGGGTGTGAAAGAACTATTTTTTTATCGTAAAAATCTGATTAAGTTTTGACTAGAAATCTGATAAATTTGACGTATTATTTAATTTTCATTATACAGATGCATAAGGTCGCTGGTCAAAGTCAAAATTTTGTCGAATTTTTCAATTTTTCAAATACTGGGAGCGACTTTTAAATTATTATATTTTTAATTTTAAAATTTTGTACGTAGAAAAAACCCATGATGTTGCAATTTTAAGGACCACCCTAGTGAAGTGGTATAAAGTCATCGTAGCAAAAAATCCATAGCTTGGGTTACGAATTGCTACCCCTGCCAGCATTTGCTTCCGATTTAGCCTATTCCGTCTATGTGCTATTTCAAACCAGCAAAAATTGCCCATTGGTAAGATTTTAGGTCATCACTGAAACAATCGCATTTCTTGAATATCTTTAAAAGCCTTTAGTTGTGTTTATTTCGTAGGCAAAAACTTGCAAAGTAGGGGAAATTGAGAGAGCGAAAATAACAGCTCAAGTTGCTAGTTTTTACCCTATGAAATAACCCTTGACCCGGTCATTGATATTCCCTCGGATAGGTAGGGTTACATTAATGTACTTGGATCTGTATCAAATCTAACCTAATAAAACAAATATTTAGCTGGTAGGCATTTTATTGCACTGATCTTAGTGCCAGAGCACGGCAGCATTCATGCCAATGAAATTGCTAACGAGCTAGCCCAAAACGGAACTTTTCTGGGTACCTCAGTGGCAGAAAAGGTTATTGGACTACCTCTGAGCTATGCATATCGTGCAATGCTATAGAGTCAATATGAATTTTTGAGCCACCTATAATATAATGAAGGATACATCTCGACTGACTGCCCTTTCCACATTGGACATTGGGCCCCAGGGTAACCCAACTTATCAGATAGACCACCTATGCCGTAGCTTATCAGATAGACCACCTATGGATCACCCACCCTTTTGGGAGCACGAATATAAGCGTAAAACCTTTGGCAACATTTGCGGGCCCGTTTTGGTTTATATATGTGAAATCTTCTAGGAAACCGAGCCCTTCCCAAAAATCCAAGGCTTAAAAGTTAATTCGTATAGTTGAAAAATATCACAAATACTTACAGTCCCACCCGCACATAATTCTCTACCCGATTGTTTCACCTCTAACATCTCTAGCGCGACAATAAACTTTCTAAACTCGTTCGCCTCATTTTCGTACAGTTCATATCCTTTCGGATCTGTTGTTCTTTTTGCGTAAACAGACTGGCACTCGGTTTTTAAGAACGAAGGACTCCATGTCTGTGAATAACTCATGTTTTGTGGTTGAGTAAGGTCCAGTTCACATGTATAAAAATCGGTTTGCGCTGCTCCTACTGTGATCAAGAACTAAATGAAACACAAAGTGAAATTTTTTGTATTAATCGTTTACAGTCCACCAGCGAACAATCACACTTACCAGGACGATAACTAAAATTAATAATAGAAATCTAATTTCCATTTTCAAACGATTTTTGATGTTCTTCTATGCCTCAAAATTGAAAAAGACAAATATCAAAATTTAATTAAAACTAATGAAGTTTATTTAATTTTATAACTACATACATATGTACATAAACATACCCTCTAGGAAAAGGAAACATTCCTCTATGCATGCTGTACAGTTTCCAAAGAAGCATGGAGTTATTCGCTTTCGTTTAAAATAATAAGATGTAATTTGGTGGAAACTGTCCTCCATGAAATGCGTGGAGAAACTTTTTTGTAATTATGAAAATTTTGATTAATGTATAGACTTCGCCAGTCGAAACCGTCGTTTTAAGGCACTGTTGACTTCCGTTTGGGTAATCCTTCCTGATTCGTCACTGCAATATGTTTACTCCTGAATGTATGACGGTGTCGTGCTTGGTTGGGTTGTGCTCATCAAGAACTGTTTTCGCATATCAAATTTCATAAAATTTCTTGTGTGCTCAGCCCCACGTGAGCAATTTAAGTTCACAGCAACTAATAGGCAGTCAAAGCTTATATCCATATTAAAGTCGTTCCCACTGGAGTCGGGTCTACTTAATCGGAACGATCCAGATTTATAAAGACTATCACTCCAGCATCACTTCACAAATCAAATTAAATTTATTTTTATTATTTTCAATAAGTACTTTATTAATCTTCTACCGTTACAATATCATTTTTAAAAAAGAAAACATTATGTATTACTATAAATATTATGACTGCCTAAGATTATACGATTCACATAAATCTTAATACGTACTAACTTTACATGAGTTAATTTGTATACGCGATTCTCAGTACTTAAAGTTATTTATTTTATATGTAGGTATGTATGTATGTATAATTTTTTTTATGTCAAATCTTGTAACATTTTGTGTAGGTAAATTTTTGCCCTTACTTTTTGATATAAATTTTAAATTAATTTTAATGTACATTATGCATATGGCTACAGAGAGCGTACCTAATTTATTTAGCAATTAATGTATAGTCACGTAAATGATTTTAAAATGAATATTGTTCTATTTTATTTATGGTATACATGTAGGTATTTATCCATATGTATACCGAAACCTGCATGCATACAGACCCAGAGATATATGTATAATTAACAGGCATACAGACAAACACATTATAAATTAAATGCTCAGTTTTTACATTTGCATATGTATAAATGTGTACAAGCAATGTAAGTTTGTATGTGTAGAGAGCAAAGTGCAACACATTTGCATGAAAGAGAGATTCAAAAGAGCGCGTCAATGGAAGAGTAAAATATTTAGCAAATCTTTTGTTTGTTTAGTTAATGCATTGGCCGGCATAGTTTATAAATATCGAGTATAAAATTCGAAACCAAAAGGTATGAAATATAAAAGAAGCTTCACAAAGAGACAATTGGTGAGTAGGTATGTATGTTTATGTATAACGACTTTAACTATGAAGTAAATAGGTAGTAAAACAGCAATATTTTTAATAGCTTGCAGAGAGCTTTTAGTTAAAAACTAATAAAAAAAAATATTTTAAATTAACTGCTCCAAACTAATTACAACTAGCTTAAGTAGGTTGCATAACATTAATTTAGTTAATTTATACGAAAACCGCCAGTTTAATGGTTTTTAAGATTTTTTTCATGTTTTTGTTTTACATTCTCATTATCAAATAAGGTCACATTGTATCACTAAAAATCACTTAAAACTAGTAGCTTTCCCTTTCAATTTATGCTAATGTATATTTTCTATTACATCTTTAAAATTATGTTTCACTATTCTGCAAATTTTGTTCGTGCCAAAGCCAATAATTTTATTAGAATTAAAACAAACGCAATACATTTTCTGTGTCTTTGGCTTTGAGCGCATAAGTTGTTGGTGTTCCATATTTGCGCTCGACATTGTATTGCAGCCTATAGCTTTCTTTCTCATGCACAATGAAATGATATCACAATCATCGCGCATACAAACGCAAACAAATGATAATTGAAAATATCAACGATATACGAAAAATCACTAGGAATTACTTCAAAAGGACATGCTTTCTGTCTTCCAGTTATTTACAAATAAAAATATAATTTAACTAACTTGTTCTCGGTAATCTACACTTATGAAGCAAACATACGTATATTATTGAGTGTGCGTAAATATAGGTATGTATATACAAATGACTTGCGCAAAACATAATATCAAAAAAAAATCATACACATTTGTGTTTGTATGTGCAAAATTAGTTGAATTTAAAAATATGTACGTTAAATAAAAACAATTGCACTAGTAAAATTTAAAAAATAAACATATTCGAATATAAATTAGATTGCCGCCTCGTGCCATTTTTACATGCTGTACTTTTTTGCTTTTTTAACCTCGTTCACTATTTAGCTTGGCACAATTCAGCAAATCTTTTACGTATACATGTCTAATTTTCTTAACCTAGCAATACAAAAAAAAATTCTCAAATAACTTTAACAAAATAAAATTCAGACAACTCCGGCATGAACATGAACTTTCTCACTGTTTAGGCACAAATCGTTCCAAACTGAGTTATCAGAATTTCTAAATTTCTTGCGCATACTCGTGTACATACTATGTACAAATGCAGACTGTTTCAGCGATTAGAAATAGTATCAAATACATTCACCCGGATGCTGTGCACAGAATTTTGGGAATATTGGTTCTGCTTCCAAGCCCAATTCTACGAGTCGATTACGAAATACGGACATACGCTTGAAAACGTCCTGTGGCACCACATCGAATTCCCGATCATCGTCAAGATCGCTCCATAGTCTGCATAGAAGATGAGAGAAAAAAAAAAAAAATAATATTATGTAATGTTAGACACTTTAATTTAAAGAGTAGAAAAATATATTCACCTTTCGCCTAGCGCAGCAGCACGTGGCCATAATCGATTATCCAATTGATACTCATCGGTTTGCTCTGTCCACATACAAGCTTCGCCGCCCAATACCTGAAAGGCAAAAACAAGGAAAATAACTATGAAGTTAAAGCTTAGTGTATATTAAGGAACGTTTACAATGTCAACTTGCAGTTGAAAATGCGTTGTTTATTTTTTTTAAGTTCTTCTGCATGCATATCGGCTTTGAGGTGTAAAGTTTCAGTTGTATTTGAAATTAAGAAAGATTATATCATGGAGAGTCTGTCTAAAACTATACCAACTCTCGGCATATGAATGCCGCTTGAATGCCCCAACTGCTCAACTTCTGTCTGGCTACTACAGCAGACTAAATTCGCACTTAACGTACGACTCAAAACATCTCTTCACATGCCCGCAACACCCAATTCAATAAACGCCCCTCTCTCCCTGTGACAAACCCCGTCGGAGTTGGCACGCTTCTTAGGTCTTCCGTTCGTTGGGAGCTTGACGACAACGATTGAGGTACAGAAAGGAATTTATATGCTGTTACAACAAAACCTACTACCATCGACCTTTTGCGCTTCGCAGAAAAAAATTCAATTAGTTTTAAGGCCGCTTTCTCGTACGTATCTTAAATGTAACTGCCCCTTTATAAACATCAACTGCCTATTTATGCATTTCATCGATAAAGTAGTCTCAGCGTGGCAAATACGGAACATGGTTCTCACAAGGTGTCATGGAACAAAAACAACTTCTAGCTCAATGCCGCCATAAAGCTACACATACTAGAACTAACTCAAACTCTTCGCAATGTATAAGCTTTATTCCATGCGATTAAGTTACCTGTTTACGCTGCGCTTTATTAAGTCGCATACGCTCCCATGGTCTGTGTTTGTAGACATTCTGCCAAGTGCGATAAGGCGAACAGGCACCCTCACCTGCAAACATAAAATGTATATCATTTATACTCACACCCGGCTTATCTGCTCATGTACATACCTGTTGAACGCCAATTACCAAAACCGCAGTCTAGGTACCAGGCGTCGACGTGTGAGAAGATCACATTGAAACCGTTATCAATGAGATCATAGTTCTCCTGCCACGTACTACCGCCCCATACTTGCACAGCGAATCGGCTGTTTGGAAGACATTTTGTGTTCGTCAGACCACTGGACCAAACACTCACCACGCGTGGTTCTACATTGTTGTTGGCTATTTTCAGTCTACAATTAATAAAAAATAAAATATTAGAAAAAAAGGTAGGTGCCACAGTTTCTCGCGCAGGTAAATATTATTGCTTAACATATGTATGTACTTACCGTGCCAACGCATTGAGCATAAAATCACACCACAAACCACGCAAATCTGTGTCATTGAAGTACTGTCCCCAGCACTCTAGATTCACCTCATCGCCGCCAAGGTGAAAATAATCTGTCGGACCGGTAGCATTCAATAGCTCCTCATAGAGGCGCTGCAGTACCAGGTAGGTGTTATTATTTTTAGGATTCAGTTGCCCACAAGGCGGTTCACCACAATAGAAACTCCAAGGCTGTTGATTTATACATAAACTCAGTTCGCCGAGGCCACGTTTCGGTCCCCATTCCCAACCGTTACCAGCGTGCGCAGGCGCATCGATTTCAGGCAACACCTGTACGCCATGTAGTCGGGCAAATGCCGCCACATCGCGCACATCCTCAGGTGTGTAGGTTTCATGTTCGGAGTAGGCGCCATGAGCCGCCATCTCTGGGAAATATTTGGACACATAAGGAAAACTTTGCGTATCGGTTATGTGCCAATGAAAGCGATTAAGTTTCGCATGTGACATGCCGACGATGGTACGTTTAATGGCCTCAACTGAGAAATAGTGACGCGAAGTATCCAACATAAGGCCGCGATAGCGAAATCTTGGTGTGTCAATAATAATGGCCTTTGATAGAATGCGTAATAGGTTGTCTTCATCGTCGTACCAAATCAATTGCTGTAGCGTGGATAAGGCGTGTCGGGCGCCAAAGAATGAGTTTGCTGTGATGTGGACGTTAATGGTGCGACGCTCATCTGGAAGTTTAAAGGCGGTTGTTAGTTAGAAGGTGAGTATTTTACAAAATAAATATAGTAATCGTATGTGAAGGTGAAGGTCACCCCAATGACTGTAATTTATGAAGATGAAGATGATATAGCTCTTAAGGAGCTACGTATATTATACGTCTTGGTGGATATAAAAAAAAATTAAAATTTGAATCTTTAATAACGAAACCAAAATTACAGTCACTTACGTGCAACGGAAAGCTTATAACTCTCATCGGTGTCCAAGCTTAGATTTATTTCGCCGGATTTATGCACTTCCACCTGCACCAGCAGCGTATCAATGTCACAGTGGCGACGGGTGTTGAAAACATTACTCAAAATCGCCGCTGGTGCCATATTTTCACCCAAACTATTGCCCAACGAACGACCAATATCGACATGTCGCCTCGCGCGCTGATGATGGAATGCAGCTGCCGCCAGCTGCTCACTGCCACCACCGACAGCAACATCATCAACTATGTCTCGCCGCGCACGTTTATGACGTTGCTGCTGTTGTGGTCTCTCCGGACTTTGAGACCGCACGCCAGTATTAGCATCAGTAGCCGAATCCCGGCCACCAGTACCGCCACCACCGCCGCCGCCGCCGGCGCCGCCCGCGCCTTCTGAGCTTTCATCTGCACCGGGTAGTCGTTGTATGCGACGCAGATCGCTTAGGAAATAAGCAAACGCTTGCTTAAATTGCGTTTCGACAACGCTGTGCGGTGTATCCATACGCAGTTGCACATCTTCCATGGTGAATTTCAATGACACTGAACTAATGGCAGTTTTTATAGTTGGATGCGGCCAAATATTGACTTCGCCGCAAGTCATGGCGCACGTCAAGAAGGGTACGCGACGATCGGTGGATACGCCACCACCATCTTTGGTGGGATACGAATGTCGTACGCAACGCTCGTTCTCACACTTGTATGTCCAGAGCTTTTCGTCAGGACTGCAGGTAAGAGAAAATGGAGAAAAGAGAGTGAGAGATACAATTTTAATTGCAGGAAGGTATGTATGTATATAACTGTAACTCACATTGGCGGTCGCTTGTTAACATCAGCTCGGCGTTTCATCGACTTCTCCACTATGAAGGCTTGCGGTTTTATGCCATCTTGATTCCAATATAAAACCATTAGTATGAATACCGTTGCCGTCAGCAGCATGAGCAATACGCGACGCAATGACACAGTTAAGGCCATTTTCAGCATGTGACGAAACCTGGAAGAGAATGAAGTTGGATTAGGTTTTTTTTTTTTAGAGAGGACAATGCGTTTATCTTATTTACTAAATAAAAAATTTAGAAGTATTTTATCAAGCGTTTAAATTTCCGTTATTTGAGTCTTGAAAATTGGACATAAATAATCATTTATATATTTATAGTTTGTGATGTTAACTAAAATAAAATCAATCCTCTTTTTAATGCACTTTGCACCAGAAGTTGAGTTTAAAATCTTGGTGGTGCTTTGCTGCGTCTTTAACGACAGTGACAATCAGGGCACATGAATTATGTGAATGGGATGAAAAGTAGGTATAAACACACATAATTAGCCAACAAGAAGAGGTAGAACAAAACGGCGAAATTCACTACACAGACACTTTTCGGAATAGCAATGGAAAACGTATATACGCCGTACACCGTATAGAATGTGGCAATCATTATTCACGCCTTACGTGCTTTTTTGAAAATAATAATATATAATTATGCGTAAATATGTAAACAAGTGCACATAAGCGAAATTACAAACATGTAAACACATCTGCTTATTAGGGTGGCCCACCGAATAAAAAGAAATTTGAGTTTCTCGCAACCGCTGTAACTAAAATTTTGGATAAGAATGGGCAAGTGAAAGTTTGAAGGCTTTGTACTAAGAACTATGAAATCCGAGAAAATAACGTGTATCTAGTAAAAACTTAAATAATAAATCAAACGAATTGTACATTTGTAAAGATTTGTATATTTTTGCAGCCATAGCTCAATAAAAAATGTCCATGCAACCCCACTTTGTAACTGCCAAAATGTACAGAACCAAAAGTGACAGTTTTTAGCAGCCAAAGGCGAAACAATTTCAAAATTCAACCCTAAGCTTCAATGAAATGGCAGCTCCGGCACACAGAAAAAAAAACATTCCTAAAAACTTTAAGACAGTCCTAAAAGAGGAAAATTTCCCATGAATAAGTTCGAAAAGTCTTGAATAACGCACGAAACATTTCGAAAAATATTAAAAGGTTCCGAAAACCCCTTAAAAATCTTAAAATTCGCTAAATTCCGAAAAATTATAATTATGCGTACGAAAAAAAAACTATAAAAAACTAAAAAAATCGTCTTTAAAATAGCAAAAAAAAATAGCTTTTAAAAAAAATTATAAAAAATTTAAAAAAATCATCTTTAAAATAGCAAAAAAATAGCTTATAAATTTTAATGTTTATTTTTTTAGACAAACGTATGTAGTAGGAGCAAAACTGTGGTATGAAAAATGTATTAAAAATAAAAAACCTGTTTAAACAAACATTTTCTTTTACCTATTTTTTAAATTTTTTTAATTCTTTTATTTTGTTTCTTTTTTTGAAAATAAATCGTTTTAAACAATAATAATTGTTTAATATATTTTTTTCCCAATTTTTTTAAGGCCTCGGAAGGTTCCGTAAAAACCACGAAAAATTATCAGGATTAATTTCATATTTTTAACGGTTATTTTCTATTACAAAAATATCAGAAAAATTTTTTTTTTTTTTTGTGTCGAGTCCCGAAAACAGACGAAAAATTGGGTTTGGTCAGGAAGCTGTACGGAAAGTTGTCAAAAAATCTTGGAAAATCCTGAACAGCCTCGAAACAGAATCCAGGAAATTTCAAAAAGTCTCCAAAAATTACGAAATAAGCTTAAAATGCAAATATAGTTATGACTAATTAAGTAAATTTCAGACGAAAATTGAAATGTGCCGAACAAAACAGGAACACTCTCACAAAATCCCGCATGGGCCCCAAAGCTTGCGAAAAGTTCAGAGCGAATCTTAAACAACCGCAAAAAAATTCGAAAAACCATATAGAAAATCTCGGAAAGTCACAAAGCTAGAAAAGTGCCCAAAAATATCGAAAAAACATTACGAATCATCTCAAAGTTTTACCAATACTTAAAAAACGTAATTTAACGATAATTTTCTACTAAAAAAATATCATTAAAAAAATGCTTTCAACTTCGCCCTAAAAATAAAACGCAAGTTACTGATATTGCACAAAATATTAAAACCCATGAGCTACAAGTTTTTAAGGAATGTGAGAGAATACTCATAGTAATACTTTCGAGAAAACATTACGGTATTCAATCAACTTTTTTTCGGTATCCTATCACTATCGATATGATACCGATATTTTTATCGTAATCGATATTGTAATAATTTGTATGTGGTAAATGTAGTTATCGATACAGTTACCTTTTCGACATTTGTATAGCTATCGATATGTATCGTTATCGTTATCATACACATATTACATATTGTCATCGTTATCGAAATTTTCATCATTATCGATGATGATATTTTCATCATTATCGTTCTATGTAGTCCAGCCCTTAACAAAATTTTTGAATATCATCGCTGTGATACAATATAAACATAAACTTCAGAGATAAAATTAACTAAAAATAATAAAAACTTTTAGATGCCGCGCATATTTTATAGGCTTCAGCGTCTTACCCCATATTTCACGGACTTTTACACAGGTTTTCACTATTTAAAGTAATTTGTATTTCAGACCGAAATTTTTTAAAACTAGAAAACGTTTTCGGCTGTGCATACTATGTAGAGCGCGCTGTAAAATTTTTGACAAAGTTCAATACAAAAATTCGGGGCTTAAGTAAAAACCATGGTGTAATAATAACAAGGTGTTGTCAGTAACTTAACCTCACTTTTTCGGCAGGTCTATTCCGGTCACGTATTTTAAAGTAGTAGAAAAAGTACTAATTATTTACTACTTTTAATCCGTTCGTGCATACTATTTCAAATTAAATGTAGAAAAATTTTTAATTACAGGCTTATAAGCCTGAATATTTGTTTGTATCGTAAGCTCCACACAGGTTGCACATATACTGTAACTTTTAAAAAAGTACAGGCCAAAATTTAAGGCAATTTCCTATAAAACTGTAAATGATTTTTTAAATAGATTAGTAATAATAATAATAGATTGGCGCTTACACATATGTTAGTGTTTGGCCGAGCTTCTCCTCCGACTTGCGGCGTGCGCCTTGATGTTGTCACACAAAGCAGAGGGACCTACAGTTTTACGCCGACTCCGAACGGTGATTGCATTTTTATGAGAAGCTGTTTTTCATGGCAGTAATACACGCGGATGTTTGCCATTGCCTGCCGAGGGACGACCGCTGTTAAGAAAAAACCTTGTTTTCTATATTTTTGCGATGTTGCTTTGACCAGGGCTTGAATCCAGCTGCTGCGGAGTGGAGCGCGCTGCTTACCACTACGCCACAGCGGCTGACATATAGATTAAAACACATAAATATCGATAATATAAGCGAAGTCGTAATTTAACCATGCTGCCGCTCTATTCTAGTGTATCAGTAGTCCATTTGGCTCGATATTATGGCAATGCAGCAAAAGATATTTAATATAAAAAGTCGCCTTTCCATACGATTTTTGCATACGTCTTTTTCCATTGATAACTACGATATCTTTTATATTTTATATTTTGAGGACAAAAATTATACAAATCCAGCAATTTTAAATATTAATATCGTTCTGAAAACACCAAGTTCTTTAAAAATCACGATAAAATGAAATACTAAAATTGAGTATTTTAAATACAATTTCCCAACTTATAGCATTATAAACAATTAAGATCGGCAGCACTGAAAATAAGCATGCGGATCTTGTCAAAATTACAACAAACACGTCGCTACTGACAACACCTTGTTATTATTTCACCATGAGTAAAAACTTTGGCAAAACATTGAATTCAGCAGGCTTATTGAAACACTTTTATTTTTACTGTTTTTTTTAAATGATTTTAGCCAAACACAAGGTTTTTTGTAGCAAAAAACAACAAAAGCGTCTGTTCAACCAGACACACAAATCTTTGACATTTCTGGCGTTGCGTTTGTCTGCCACCAAAAAAACACGCGGCTGCAAACATTTCACTCGATTGCCACTACTACACTTAACACCCACCGCATTCGAACAAAAAAGGCAACAACAACTACAACAACTAGATAATAAAAAACAACACTTTAGTAGCCATTTAAAGTCAAAAGAATACTATGAAGGATATTCTCTGCTGTTTTTTTTTTTCTTTAACAAACGCATATTCACTTCATCATCCATCAGCTCCACTAGCGCGCACTATTCCATGTGTTTCGAGTGAGTCCTTGCCGCTGATTGTGTGGCACGAACGAGTGCGCGCCTAAGTTAACTTTGTTTTACACCATCGACCCAACGGCAGCGGTAGCGGCAGCGGCAGCGGCAGCACAACGATGCCAGTCAGTGCTTGTCAGACATCGCGTGTAACAAAATTACTAGCACGCCAAAACACCAAAAAGCTGGCATATTCATTCACACATACAAATGTACCAAATGCTAAAATACGAGCACAATTCAAAAACAACTAAACAAAAAAAAAAAAATATCCAACAAGTGTGAGAGTCAAAAGGCCAAATACATGCATACAACCCCAAGTGCCGTTTGTGAAAGGCCAAATGGAATTTGAAGCAAAAAACAAAAAAAAAAGAGGCTCGCAGGCGCAATTAAAAGCTTTAATGGGGCACGAAGTGTGGAATGTTGCCACAGGCGCTCTAAAACACCAGTAACAGGCTATCAGAAAGGGAGAACGAAATGCCAATAGCATCAGCTAAAAAGCCACACACACAAGAATGTTGACGCGCTGTGATTGTACATACATACATATGTATGTGTCTATGCAGTTTTCAATGGCGATGAGAGTCAGTAGTAGAGGAGTTTAGTCACTTTTACTACAGTTTGTCCACACGTACTAATGATGTTGCTGTTGTTAAAATGCTCATTTGGCAAAGCTAGTGCAGAGATACTTCTTCTATGAGGGGTATTCACCAAATTGATCAAATAACCTGGCAGTCGGGCAGAAGAGCAGATGAGCTCAAGCAACGACTTTGACACTATGCGTTGATTTGAGCTAATCAGCCCATTTGCCCGAATGTCAGGTCACTTGCTCAATTTGGTGAATACCCTATTGTTACACATTTACAACAC